TATTATTATTATTATTGGCAGCCTCAGAACAGTTTCCCAAACTGTAAGCAAACTCAGTGAACATTATTTGGAAGAGGAAGCAATCTCTCAGAAAAATGACCTTAATCAGATAATGACTTGATGAGCTCCTATACAACAGCTCCATTTCTTTTCAGAGAGACAGTTTTCGGAGAAATAACAGTGAGATAAAACACGCAGAGTGAAACACACACAAACATAGACGCACACACAGTGATGGTTGTGCTAAAAGCTGTTTTGTTCCGGAGAGGTCTCCGGGTCCCTGAATAAAAAGGTTTAGGAGACAGGACAGAGAGGAGGAGGAGGAGAGGATTTGAGTGTAATAAGTGAGTAGGAGTCTGAAGTCCTTGTTGGACCTAGTGTCCGGGACTTAATGTATTCAGCTTTCGTTATCCATGACAACTATAAGGATGCTGGAGAAGAGATTTGGCTACTTGTTCTTATTGAAATGGGCCTGCATGATCAGAACATAAATTAAGAACCAACAATTTCATCTTGATGCTGTAGTGAAATAATACCAATTTACATATATGTTATTTTCACCTTCAAAGAAGTAACTGGCGGATTGTGGACCCCTACGACCCACATTTCTCTTTTTATAGTCTGCAAGTCGTGGTGATTTTGGATGCTTGTTTGTGTATCTGTGTGGTTGTGACAAAAAGAAAGAAGGGAGGGGGGGGTGTCATTTTTTATGCCCTCTTTTATGGCCATCCTCTGAATGAACACACACTACACATTCAAATATGCTTTATTTGCATGAATGCCATTTGCCATCGCTACAGACTATAATAGATGGCCTAAAGAAAACCCCACAGTGAAATATGAGAGCATGTGCACCAAAAAAAAAAAAAAAAAACATGAGCAAGTCTGACTCTTTACAGACACTTGTACTATCTTTTCAAGGGGATAAAAACCTGCCAACACCTTGACGATAAAGAACCCTACAATTTCAACATTTAGATTAAAACAGAAAATGTTGAAAACATTTAATCAATCCAGTATGAAAGGAAGTACTGGATAGTCAGAGCCACAGTGTGCAGTGTGGATGATAAAAACAGAGCAATGTAGGTAAAAGTAAACAATAATGGTTGCTGCCAGCACTCTGCACTGACAAAATGAACTATAAGAGTTGAATCCCCCCCAAAAATAATCATTATGCTTTATCTGGGTAAAAAGTAATCAGCAATCCTAAAAAGATGTAAGTTGAGGTTAAAAGAAAAAAGAAAAAGAAAAAAGTCAATTCAGTTTTGTTTCATCCAAAATCTGATATTACCAAATCAGAACACGTCATCCAAAGCTACTTTAGAGCAATGATTCAATTAAACCACACAGATTGTGTTGTTTTTTCATCTAAAGAAAACCTTAAATTCGAAACCAGTCACTGACCAGCAGAGTCCTTTACTTCTAGATGAGCATAAAACAACAGCTGACAGCTGCTTGCACTGTGTTGTCAACTTCACAGCAATCTCTCACACTGAGCATGCATATGGTGACAGTGGAGAGGAAAAACTCCCTTTTAATAGGAAGAAGCCTCCAGCAGATCTAGGCTCAATGTGAGCCTTTTGCCCTGACTCAGTATATAAATGTTTCAGGTTTTTCAAATGTGGATTTTTCTGAATACATAATAAAACATATGATGTAGAGATACTACATGTGTGTATCTCTGTGTTTGTTCGCAAAGATAGTGAGACATTTTTTTGTTGGTGGCTAACTAATAGTTAGCATTACCGAATTAGAAAAAGCACAAATTACTGCCTTTCAAGTTTACAAAATTTTACTGTATTCTTGACATTAGCATTGTTTTTTTAGCCAAACTAGCTAGAGCTTGGCATTAAATGAAAATCTTACTCCAACACAAAAAAATTTCAAATCATAAGTCTAATTACATTCCTTAACTCTCACAAGGATCATTTCACGTTGTTTTTAAAATATATTATTAATTATTATAAAAAAAAATCAAATAACAATATAAATACAACATAATATTTTACAACTTTATAATTTTTTATTTTGCTCTGCCCAATGGTATCCATTGACATACTGGAAATCAATATGTAACATAGATTAACTTAAGTTTTATCATTAGGCTTTTTATGCTTCATATTTTAATGGGGTTACACTTTAGAAAAAGGGGTGAGACACAGCTACTATAACGTTTCATAAAATAAAAATTAAGGCTAAGCAGTTGGCTCCTGCCCAGGGGCTCATGTCTTCTAAATCAGACCTTATATGCATGCCTTACAAACAGTTAGGATGGTGGTTAAATCTCTGCTATGACAGAAGTTACACCAAAGTCAACTGGAACGTAGGAAACACACAAACTCACCCCCTCCAACACACAGACACACACACACACACACGCATGCAGCGCCTTGGAGGTGCTCAGGCGGACAAACATGCTGGGAAATCGCCTGGAACTGTATTAAGCCCGACGTCCTTAAAACAAACAATGGCACCATGAAGTAAGGGCTTATGTGCTCAAAGTCAAAGAGCCCCCTCAGCAACTCTCCCTGTTTATCTCTCCCTCTGTCTGCACACACACACATACGTATGCATGTTCACATACACACGCAATTTCTTGTGGGGGGTAGGGAGTGGGGGGATTACATACTCTGAGTTGCTCTTAGCAGGAGGACGGGTCTAACTTTGCTCCTATG